TCAAATCATGACCCCGGGGCAAGGGTGGGGCCAAAATGGTCGACCCAAGTTTAACATAGGAATATATAGGAAAAATCTTTTAAAATCTTCTTCTCCAGAACCACTGGACCAGGAAAGATGAAACTCATGTGGAATCATCCTCAGGTAGTGTAGATTCAAGTTTGTTCAAATCATGACCCCCGGGGCAAGGGTGGGACCAAAATGGCCGACCCAAGTTTTACATAGGAATATATAGGAAAAATCTTTAAAAATCTTCTTCTTCAGTACCACTGGGCCAGGAAAGATGAAACTCATGTGAAATCATCCTCAGGTAGTGTAGATTCAAGTTTGTTCAAATCATGACCCCCGGGGCTAGGGTGGGGCAAAAATGGCCGACCCAAGTTTTACACAGGGATATATAGGGAAACCTTTTAAAATCTTCTTTTCAAGTACCTCAAAGCTATGATTAGTGATATTTATATGGAATCATCCTCAGGTAGTGTAGATTCTAGTTTGTTCAAATGATGAACGCCTGGAGGGGGGTGGAGTAAATTCAAGCCTGATGTGCTTAGGTGAGCGCTGTGGCCCCTGGGCCTCTTGTTACATCTCCGTGGGCCGCTTACGCGTTTGAAGACGTCATTTTCATCAAACTCAATTGTGTTTCTTATGCTGTTAATATGAAAATCTTACATGCTATTAATATTTTGATTCTAGTTTCAATGATTTAAATTTGAGTTCAATGTCTCTCACAGTACCAAAGAAATAAATAACAAATGTAATAGTTATATGCGTAAATTATTCCGACAGACCTTATCGGCCTACATATAAATTGTCCTAATATTATTAATATGAAAGGTATATATATATATATATATATATATATATATATATTTAAGAATTCACAATTTTATATATTATTGAATATATTATGTCTATACAAGATTTGGTTAGTATTGGTTGCATGTTAAAAAAGTTATAAACATAGTCTACGACTTTTTGGGACAACCTTCCTATTTTGAGTTTTTTTTTTTTTAAATGTCCTCTTAGATTAATTTTGAATGAAAACACTGTTTGATTCTATTTCTTATTATTGGGGGGGGGAAGGGTCTTGAAGTGTTAAGATTTTAATGATAATATCTCAACAATTGTTTATTATTGAAAGTAACAATTAATTTCGATTTCGTAAACTGTTTTCTTTAAGTGTATGCTTACTTGATCAAGCTATGTTGCTATTTTTATCTTACAATAAAATCTCAAAAATTGTTTATTATTGAAAGTAACAATTAATTTCGATTTCGTTAACTGTTTTCTTTAAGTGTATGCTTAGTTAATCAAGCTATGTTGCTATTTTTATCTTACAATATAAATTTCTATGAATTTACTCAATTACGTTTTCCTGTCATAAAATAGGTTTGGAATACGTTTAGGATCGTCATAATAAGCATGGTCTTAATCATATTTAAGAATGTTAATCAGCAAATAGATAATCAAAAGGAAGTGCTGAACATATTAAGAGAGAGTATAAATTTGATTGTGGGTCCTTTACCATACAAGACGCATGACTCCACTTTTTTTGTGTTTCGGAGCAGTGTATTTGCTCCACTGCTATTTTGCAATGTTCAATAAACTTTTGAGCTCGAATACTGTTCTTTATCTCCACATATTTTGAGGAATAAAAAATAATCTCTCAACATTTTTGTTTGTTAGTAGAATTTAAATATTGATGATAGTTCGGTTTACATATTTGCCATAGCATCTTAGATTCCTGTCACAGCGTAGGCTCTTTTAGGCTTTCCAAAGAATATTGCATTGTACTATGTACATGAACTACATATGTATCACGTCATAATTGAAAATAACGTCAAGTCACTGCAAACTTGAGCTGTTGATGGGGAAACTGTCGTAATTCTTACACCTTATTTCAATCTGAATATAGATTGTCAGAAAGCTAGTGTACATTCAAATAAACGTGTTTTTTAATCTTATACAGGTGACTTTCGATCTCTCGAAGTTCAAGGGACTGCAAGAAAAGTTCAAGAGATCGATGGGTTCGAGAAATGAAATCCGGATTTTTTTAGTTCCGATCATCGATGTTCTACAATTTTAGATACTGGAAGTGTATACAAATAAAGTCAATGCACGTTTCCAATCGTATTTTAAAGGTAATTTGCTTGATTTCAACAAAAACGATCGTATTTCGAATAAATAAAACGAATCCCTAAAGTTTCGACCGGAGGTTCACTTCGAGAGATCGGAGTTCGAGCTATCGATGGTTACCTGTATATTCAAATGATTTAGATAATTTTGTTTTATTTCTCTTGTTTAAAAGTCAGAGTGTTCAAAATACAAATGGAAATTTTACGTTTGACATATACCTTTTCTAGACCCGTTGATTGAAGTAGAATTCATAGTGTGATTATAAAACAGCCCTTTGCAGGTGCTTAATGAGTATTCATTTGAGATCCTTTTTAGAAATATGTAAGAGGAGTCCTTTTTACTGAATCTTGCTTGGAAAAACGTGTGATGGCTTTGTCTTAAAACATATGACGATATTGTGTGCAAAATACCCTTATATTTGTCATTAGACTGAAGTTATTGTAATATATTTTGTACCAGAGAATTAGTAAAACTTTTCTCAAGCAAATTACGGCTTTGCAGGTATGAAACAGGTTTATTTACGTGACAAAAAGTAAATAATAATTGTGTAAATCACCTGCATCGAAATATTTCAAAAGATTAGAAATGGACTTCACATGATATGTGTCATGTGAAATTGTAACAAATATGTGTATGTATAGCAAAACAAAGCTTTCTATATGAATAGGCAGTACCTAAGTGTATAACAGAAACCTAAAACACAAAATCGATCTTCCAATGCAGTGTTACGTTTTAAACGCATTTAAAGCTATGGGAAGCCTTAACATTACTGCGAGAGATTACTCCATAAAATAATGACAACTTGAAAAAATAATGCTAATGTATCTTTATTAATGTGTTGACAGATAAATGTTTTTTGCAGAACGGAGATGTTTACTACTATATTCCTAAACAAAATTTACTTCTTTGTATATTTAGGATAGATAATTGTCAAAACGAGCAATAACATTCACCTGCACCTTGATTTCTCCTTCGAAAATGCGATCTACACAATGGTTTTTAAGTATTTAGATATTTGATGAAATGTTTGGTCTAAAAACAGAGGTTATTAAAGAATATTTACTTCGATTTTATATAAATCTTTTTAGATATCTCAATTAGAAAATTCAACGACGAGAACAATAAAAAGATTTCAGAAACATCTAATATTTAGTTCTAAGCATTTTTTTACTATTCTAAAATTGAATACTGAATTATAGACTACAATCCAAATTGATGCCAACAGAGATGATGAATAGCAGTACAATTTTGCAAACAGAATTAAGTTTTACCAATTAACTGTACAAATAAAACCTTATTAACTTCAAGACCTTTAGGCAATTTTTTGCATCTCTGCTTGATGTTAAAGTGGATATGCACTGTTACTTTAAGTGCAAACACAATTAATTGCAGTTTTAATAAAACAACGTTCTGAAGTGTACTTGAGTACTGGAATGATAAATCAGGTGGATTATTTACGTAATAATTTCAGAAAAGTGCAAAACTAGTATATGTCATGATTTAGAGAAGTTGTCACCCAGTTTCATTATTAATATCCCAATTAGGATGCAATACAAGTGGATATAAACATTTTAAAGGATTGATGTGTCGAATACCAGTGATATGTCAAAAGTGAAATGCACTGGCAGTTCATAATATTTTTTTTAGTTTTACTTTTCCATTAGTTTGTTGGTAGAGCACTTGCTTCGTAATAGGAAGGTCGTGAGCTCAAATGTCTGCCGTGACTTGCCTTAATCGGCAACGAACGGTAGCAACTGTTCCTTTCCAACGGACATGGCATTTGAAATAAATGTTGCAGATCCTTTGCATGAGACCTTGCAATCGAGGCCAATATATCTAGGCAGGAGTTGGTACGATAAAGATCCTTTACTGCTCATAGCTCTGAAAGCCAAGTAAAGGTCAAAATCTTAAGCCCTTCACTTTTATACAGTGGTGTCTCTATATGAGAGAAAAAAAATATATGGAATTGGGCGTAAAACAACAAACAATCAATCAATTCATCTTTTGATTTTTTAATACCTGCTTACCATTTAAGTTGACGTTTATTCCTGGTCGATTCGGATTTGAAATATCTACATTAATTTTATGTTTGATATTCTTATTAAAAATTTCAACCTATAAATCAATTATACATGTTATTTAAGATCAGTTTGATAACACTTTGATAAGCTGCCTGTGTAGGTTGATTTTCCCAACATGAACGAATAAGAAAAAGCGTATAAACATTTTTTGAATATATATCTTATATATTTCATGTGTATTTATACTCCAATGTTTTAAAAAAAAATCACCTACAAAAGACTTGGGATTTATTTAGGTTTTCTTATGCTTATAGATATTTTTTAACAAAGGTAAATATCCTGGTTTATTCATAATACTGGAATTTGAAATATTAGTAAATTATATGCTTGTTTTGTTAAGGTTACACGCTTTATAAGTGCTACAAGTTGTATCTAGGAATTTTGAAATGTTTAAACAAACAAAGAAATATAAGTAAGAATGTTTTATTTTAATGTTATATTATCTGCAATTCTGCATACTTTCAAATTTAAAAAAAATGTTTTAGTTTTGGGTCGTTCAATGCAAAAAGATGAAAAGTAATTTTAATTCTGTTGCGAGTGAATAAATTGCAAGTATGATTGATGTCTCTTTATTTACGTCATTTTAATATTGCAAAATTACTATCTGTAGATATACAGATGAGACGTTATTAAACGACCAGAAATATTGAAAAGAAGTATTCTCATCCATTCTTAATACGTTCGTTAAAATTTTTCATTATTTTTCGAGGCCTATTTTTTTAAGCCATTGTATTATATACCAATTGCCGAACTTAACTTTCTTCGACGAATCCGTGTGAAGATATGTTTAAATATAGTGCCATCATATTCTCTTTTCTGGTCATCTTTCGAAAATTCACTAATTCTTGTCTCTTAGACGTACAGTTCATTAAAAACACTTCTGTAGAAGACACCCTTCCAATCAGCGGACAAGAATTCTACTTAAAAGCTATCAAAAACAGGAGTCGAGCAGAATGTGCCATGCAATGTCTTCAGCTTAGGTCTACATGTGTAGGACTTGTTTACAGCGAAATGCGTTTCCGTTGTTATCTTATGAAATCTAGTTTTAATGGAAAAGTGTTAGACGGACAGTCTAGGTCATCTTCTTGGGAATACTGGTACAAAGTTGATGGTAAGTTAACTGCACTCATTTTAGTTTTTTTTTACTATGTTATTGTTTGTAGCTTAACGTCCATAGAAAAGTTTACATATACGGAGACACCAACACTTGCCGATCGAGGACTGCAAATTTAATCCTGTACTCGGCACTCAGAGCCACTGCTCAGTGAGGGATCTCTTTAAAATTTTAAGATCCTTCAATTTTGACTCGATTTAAATTAGATGTTTAAAGCAAATAAACTTATTTTACAAGTCAGCATGTGTTTCTCAACGTCTAATTTTACTAAGTGGCTTTTGTGTAATTTTGTTTTTTTGGGTGGTATTTTTCTTTAAGAACATTTTCATACTAAAGAAATGTAGATCAATATTTCTTTTTTTTTAAGTTTGCCCTCGTGGTTGGCTACCCTTTGATGACCATTGTTATCTTTTCAATAAAATCGCAACCTCCTGGAACGATGCAAAGGTATTTGAAGTGTTCAAAACCTTCTCTATGAATTAAATTGATTATTGAAGAAATGACCAGTTTTTCAACAGTTAATAGTTTATATGTGATAAATTATGGATTATAATACAAATATAATTGCTATAATTTTTTTAATGTAACTATAAATAAAACAAATATAATTCTGAAATTCTTTCGGGATGTATATTAATCAGATCATCAAACCCATTACTCCTCCTTAATATCCTTATTTGATGGCAACATATTTAATTTAACAGTACAAGTCCCGTACCCAATATAATAAAGTTGTTTAAGTACAAATAACCCATGGACGTGTTAATACTAAGAGGTCGGAAGCAACGCTCCCCTGTGTCATTATGACCACGCCCATCGGGTATCCGTACCTAGCCAATATATCATATAATGTAACTACTACATCATTGATTTTTTTATATATCAGGGAAATTGTGAAAGGGAAAACGCTTATTTGGTAGAAGTGAACACAGCAAAGGAAAATGATTTTCTACAAAGTACCTATGTACAGAACCATGACAGCAGTAAGTTATGTTTCATTAGCATTGTTCACATAATGTGTATTTGTATACAAACCCCGGTAAATATTATTTTTGCCAGGATATTAACTTTTGATTTACATATAGGTTTTATTTTTATTTTTTTCTTTAAAAGTTACAGTAATAAGTTATATGTTCGGTAAATGTCTTGATATGATCTTGTATTTATGAAGAAGGACATACCTATTAATTATTCATCGATTTTATAATATTGAAATAAATACCATGTTATCTAGAATGTCGTTTATTGTTACAGTCAAAGATAGCATGATTTGTTCTTCTCTGTAAAATGATGCTTTTTTAGAAAAAAAAAATACGTCTATGGCGCCCTCATCAAAAAGAATATTACTATGTACATCTAATATTATAGTGTTATGGTTAAAAAAATGTAAAATCGATTTGAGGATATGATTAATTCTTTATTGGTTTCAAATTCTAGGACCCTGTGTTGGAGAATACGCCTGTCCTGTGTGGATCGGAGCCAACGACATCGATAAAGAAGGTGAATTTATCTGGAGTGGATCGAAAGAAAAGATCGTGTTTTTACATTGGTATCCTAGTGAGCCATCTACCCATGTACCAGAACAGAACTGTGTTACAATTGTTCATGAAGGCTTGTGGGATGATACGACCTGTTTTTCAAAAATACCATTTATTTGTGAAAAAGAGTAACTGTTGTAGATTTTTCTTTTCTTCATGTTTACTTTCGAAGCATTTTCAATAGATATAAAATTTGGCATGTTTTTTTTTCATTTGGCATATCTGACTCAGTGTAGCTTTTGCGCTGTTAGCTATAGGCGGAAAGGTGAAAATGATAACTCAGAGAGTTTACAAATGGATTGAATTATAAAAGCTGCATGAAAGAGACTAATTAACTCATACGGGAAGCGTGTCGCAAAACATTTCATTTTGTTTATACTTATATTTTATCAACTGATTTTTTTTTTACAGGAAATTTAATCAGCAAAAATTTTAAACATTTGTTTGTTTGTTTTTTTATATATATATTTCTATTATTTTTTTTAGAATATCCCTAAACTGCAATGTTATGTACATATTACAAAACAGGATTTTATTTTGAAATTCTATATAATATGTATGCGTACTGACAAATTTTGTATCAAGTAAGCAGTTATCTTTGGATTCATATTTTGAATATATACCAAATACAAGCATTTCCCATTGCATTCTATTATTGACTCTTTCCACATTCTATGTTGTGATTTAAGCTGATATATAGAAACATGTAAGGCGAAACTTAATACAGTTACCTGAACGTATATATATTTTTCTTATAATTTAATAAAAGAGTTACATACGATGTTTTTATAGGCCTTTACATAATTTAAACGTCATGTAAGTATGAATAAACTCATCTTCTTACTTACTCAAAAAAGAAGGAAGGGAAGTAAACATCTCAATTTTGCTGTAATATTTCTCGACGTTAGGGTTATTTCTCATCATACCATGTACAGGTGTGCACCTTGTTTTTGATGAACATGAGCCATCTACGTCAGGTAATTACTTACATGCGATAGAAATGTCATCATGTTCACGCATGTACGTGCGCGCTCGAACAATGCGTAAAATAACATACTTAAAGGTGCATAGACAAAGATTTGGATTCAATTTTTTAAATTTTTTTCTATATAATACATGTATTATGACTTACACATGTATGTTCTAATAGCATTTATTAATTGATTGATTGATTGTATATTGTTTAATGTCCCTCTCTAAAATTTTTCACTCATATGGAGACTTCACCGTATGCCGGCGACTAATAGCATTTAACAGAAAAACATATTAAAAATTTTAATTCATCTACAAATTATTGAAACTGCAAAGTTTTGGATGGGTTTGATTTATACATCCTTGCACTTTCACAAATTAAAATTTTGAATATTTAGAAAAAGTGACAATCTTGTTGTGTTTGAATACTTTTTTCAAAAGTTTTTATTTTAAAAACAAGCTTTTCGAAAAATATTTGTTCTTGCATACATAGAAATAATATTGTATATTTAAAAAAAATATACCGTGGACAAACACAATTGGAATTGTAGAATGAATTTTGAGTTGGATTCATACATGTATGTGTATGAGACAGCAATACCATTTGATTAATTTGCATAAAGAAATTGGAAAAGAAAATACTGATAACTAGAAACTCTTGTTGCTACAGCAACAAAAACGGTCGTCCGTTCTCCTTTATTTATATGCATGAATGAGCATTCGCGGGGTTGTCGTTTTTGTATCATGTGGAACTGATATATTTTGAAACAATAAAGAAGATGCTAAAATGTGATGCAAAAATGTTTTAAAAAAGAAAACTTGAAATTTAATTTATTTGATCACTTCCTGTGACGACCGGAAGTGACGACGGACAATCTTATCCCCAATGGTTTTGCATACTCATCAAGATTTACCATTCCTATAAGTTTGGTGCCTTAATCTTTTACCGTTTAAGAGATCTAACTATGATTACTTCTCATTTTGAGGACAGGAAATTACGCGACCGGACGTGAGTTTTATAAAGATATTTGAAATTTATGTAGACATATGCAGTCTGAATAACATATCCAAAAATCCTATAAAATATTTTATCTATAAAAAGTATAAATGGGAGAAAAAAATACTCATATTATGTAGTTTTTCTCTTATAACCAGAAGTTGTCGTTTTTTTTTCCCGGTGGGACTGATATATTTCGAAACTACAAATAAGATGCTATAAAGGGATGCAAAAAAAAAAAATCATAACAGAAAAGTTAAATTTTTTTATTTCTTTGATCACTTCCTGTGACGACCGAAAGTGACGGAAGACAATCTTATTACAAGTTGATTTGTCTACTTATCAAGATCTAATAGTCCTATAAGTTTGGTGCCTTAATCTCTCATCGTTTTTGAGATCTAGCTGTGATAACTTCTCATTTTGAGGACAGGAAATTACGCGTCCGGAAGTGATTTTCATGAAGATATTTGATGTTACTGTAGACATTTGCAGTCTTAATAACATATTCAAAAATCATTTTAAATACTTTATTAATAAAAAAAAATACTCAATTTATGTAGTTTTCTCTTATAACCGGAAGTTGCTGTTTTTGTTTCCAGTGGGACTGACATATTTCAACACTGCAAATGAAATGCTAAATGCGATGCAAAAAAGTTTCAAAAAGGAAAAGTTTATTTTTTTTATATTTATGAACACTTCCTGTGACGACCGGAAGTAACGGCAGACAATCTTATCCCAAATAGATTTGCCAACTTATCAAGATCTATCATCCCTGTAAGTTTGGTGCCTTAATCTCTTACCGTTTCTGAGATCTCACTCGGATTAAATATTTTTGAAAAAAGCGGAAATCGGACATATCTGACGACCGGAAGTAAATTTTGAATAATTTAAAGAAAAAGTCTCGGCGTAATTTTATTCTCTATCATCCCTGAAAATTTCAGGAAAATCCGTCCAGCCATCTCTGAGAAATCCTGCCGACAAGATTTGGGGAAAAAATAATATTGAGAAAAAACAGTAGAATCACTTTAAGGTCTTCCGTCTGAAACGGAAGACCTTAATTACGTGGTTATTTGTCCATTTGAAACGCATTCTGATGACCAAGTTTCTTCCTCAAAGTTTTCCGTTTAAAAAAAAAATCACGAGTAGTCATCATCACTAAGGTCAAGATCTAGGAAATGTATTTGTGTTAGATCTACATCAAAATTGCTTTTATATTTTTCCCGTACTTTACAGCTCTAAATAGAATTATGTGGAAAATGAAGTACATGTACGAGTAATTTCAGGAAATTCAACCTAAAAGGACGTAACAATTCATCAAGATACCTATATTTAATTTGACATCATTTTAAAGAAGAGGCCAGGAACACACAAATAACCGTTTTCTAAAAGTTTAGGCAATCTGGATACAATTTCTTTGTCTGTAATGTAAAAACGCCTATATCCATGATTGGAAATGACAATATGAAATATGATTTTTCATCTTGTTAACCTTCCAATTATGCCCCGAAACACCTCGTTTGACAAAGCTAAAATTACAAAGCAACTTCAAAGGAATTTAATTCCTAAAGAACAAGAGCCATCTTATGCATAAAAAGATCCTTTACTTATATGATTGCGCCCATGAGAAAAGGGTCCTTATGGCAATTTTTACACATTTTGAGTTCTTCTTGAATTCTGATAGAGTAAGGTTAGAAGTTGTCAAATATGAATTTCTATAGTCCTACGTCTACTCTAAGTAGGTTTTTTCTTCATTTTCATCTAAGGTACTTTAACAGGTTCATAATGACGCCATGTTTTTCAACAACGTCTAACGTTTTTAGAGTGAACATAAAATAATTTTGTTTTATAATTTGACTACGGTAGTTAATAGTTGTATAATGTATTAAATATTTACCAGTACATATTACTTTTATCTCATTGTCTCATTTGATAATTCCTAATTATTTCTCCTTATTATTTAATAATTATATGTATATTATGGATTCAGCAGTGGTGTATAATATTATGAAAATTTGTTTGTTTTACATTTCACTTTTCTATGACACCAGGGGGGACCTGAACAGCGGTCGACACTTATTCAGTTTTTCAGAAACTATGATTTTTTCATACCATTTTTTTTATTAGTAATCCATGAAAGAGTCATTTAAAAAGCCCGTAGAGTTGATTAGAAAATGATTTTAATTAAAACATTGCTCTCGTTAGGTCAAAATGAAATTTTTCTTGCCTGAATATACCATAAAACGAGATATCTTAAGTTGATATATACATGTATGTGAAAAATAATTTTAAAAAAATTCTATCTGGAACAACAATAAGCTACTTAAATGCTATTGCGAAGTGAAAATATACATTACTTGATTGTTCTTTTTTTCTGAATTTCATATAAAGACAGAAAATTTGTGAAGTGTGGTATCATGTAATTGCAATAAACAATAGACAGTAAATAATAAGGAAATTCGGTTGATTCACTGAATCTTAAAGGTTGTATGCATGGGGTCAAAAAAATATAAACGATGTATGAAATATTTTCCATCCTAGCATTAAAAATATTTTAATATTTACCAATTAAAACGATGAAAAAATTATAAACAAATGAATGAGTTATTAGCTGCACACATTTACACAATAGATAGAACCAGGATTAACATTGGTAGGATTATTTGTGCTTTGTGGAGGGGGGGGGAGGTAAAAATCTATATTGTAGAAACGTACAATTCTTGCGAACACGAGTTAAAATACATATAGCTTTTTTACTTCCAAAGTTCTAGATGCAAAGGCGGGGATTCTATCCTACACCCAGTACCATTAAACCCACAACTTGTAAATTTACTTTTATATTCAGGTTTGAAATGATACTGCATATTATTCCTTTTTTGATATTTGTACCTTAAATTCTTAACATTGCCATTTCAAAATCGCACAGCGACCATGAGCACTTTGAGCTTGGAACTGCATTGCTATGAATTCAGTCTTCTTAATCATGTATAAATGACACCCTAGAATAACAAAATCTTATTTTATTTTATGAAATGGATGATTTTAAAAGCATACCCATAGAATTAAATTAAATTAAATATGCCATTTACAAAAATTTGATAAGAATTTCGAACAAAATTGGTTCGTCGTTTTTCTCCTCATTAATTAAATAAACATGTGTACCAGT